TTACTTGGTTGGACTAGTGTTCAATCCAAGGGGTCACTTTGACTCTCAGCAGTAAGCTCCAGCAGTGGTGGGCTGCCTCATAGGACTGAACTTAAATGGAGGGATTTTAGTACAACGTTAGCAATTATTGAAACTTGGATTCATGTTTGGCAATTGTTTAACAGCACTGCTTCTATGCTTTTTCTTTTATCACAGAAAAAGAGCCAATGGATCCTCCTCTGACATCAATAGAGCCAAGGCTGTCAGAGTTAAAGGATAATCCAGACAATATAAAGCTTGGTATCATTATTGGGTGCACCATCAGTGCATTTTGCATTGTAGTCCTTCTTCTCTTTATTGTGTGGAGAAATCCTTGCAGGTTAGTGAGCTTTTTTATTCTTACAGGGAAAATGAGGTTACTTTATGGTTGGTGCTCTCAACTTTATGGCATTGTTTAAGCCTTGTGTGAGGTTAATGTAATGCACCCTTTCACTTCCTTGATCTCAATAACAATTCTGCACCACATTTGCAATACATTTCCCTTGTTTTGTAACTGAGTTCTATGAATGTGGGGTTTGTTCAAACAATATCCCTTGGCTTATATTTTTCCTAATTCTCGTCTTCTTCTGTCTTAATGTTTATTGATATTGTGAAGAGAAATTAGTTTTTTGGTCACTCTTGTGAAGGAAATGGTTAGAGGCTGGAAGTGTACAACTCAGTTGAAGTTCTTAAAGTATTTTATAGATTTTGCTTTGTTAAAAATTGTTATTTGAGGAAGCACAGTCAATCAGACTGTGATTTACAGATGAGGGGATTGGTCTGAAACATAAAAAGACAAAAGTATGTAAAGCCTTCTGAATGAACATGATTTGTGAAGTGTTGGGTAGATGCTCAATAACCCTTGAGTAAATATTGATTTAACTTATATGTGTATTTTTTTAAGGCACTATGCCACCCAGAAGGGTGAAAAGAAAACTAATGTCAAAGCATTGCCACCCATGAATGGGTATCTGTCGTCACAAAAACAAATTGTTGTATCTTCAATACAAGATAATAGTGCATCAACAGAAGAAACATCTGCCAGTTCAGGCTTGTGCCAGTGTAGATGTACATGTGGAGGTTGGTGGAGATCTATTTACAGCAATTTTGCTGTTTTTACAGGTTTATTTCATGTTTAAACTTTTCAAATAGTGAGGTTGTAGCTAATGTACACTCCACCACTAACACAGAACAATTTTCATTTGTTTTTCAGCTGGTAGATGGCCAATGGGACCAACAATGGTGAGCAAAATTTTTATTTGGATAAAATGTTAAATAGCATAACTAAGTGGATTTCACTTCCAGGTTATTAAAGAGCTAGTGCTTGGCAAACTAAACTATATAATTAACAAGGTTGTTTGAAAGTTTTTTAATTCCTAAGTTATTAAGGAAATTGGAGAGCTAGTGTCTGACAATTTTAGTAATGACTTAATTATAGAATTAACAAGGTTGGTTAAGAGTTTTTTAATTCCTGACTTAGTAAGGAAATTGGAGAGCTAAACCACCCTTTTACAAACAAAAGATAGGAAATGTGGTGTGAAGTGTATGAAGTTTTTTCCAATCTGCGATTGGTGCAGCCTCTGAATAAGAAATCACTTGACTGGGGTTTCATTTAATGCATCAGGCCAGTTTGAAAAGCCTGTACATCGTTTTGGCAGCATGGAAGTACTTGAACTTTTGTTGAGGTTTAAATTCAATTCTGGTTCACAGTTTTCACAGAGCGATTTCACAGAGGTAAATCTTCAATTTGGTAATACTATGTGAGCACACTATCATAATTCTATGATATTGTTTACCTGTGTTTTAGGTGAGGACTAATGGTCGATTACCAGGAAGCAGTGATAGCTCCGCACCAATAACACAGGTTTTTTCACATTCTGCATCAGATGCAAACAGGTAATGGATTTTTCAGTTAGTGATTGAACAAAACATACAGTCATTTAGCAACCTCAGTCTCTAAATCAGGCGACTTGAGGATGGGAGAATCCATAGACCCTTCGTACTGCAGATGCAGATGTATTTCCAATTGTTGTCTCCCTTGTGCATATATTTTTCTGATGGAGTAGAAGGAAAAACTTTACCCTTTGTAGGTTATGGTTCTGTTGGCTATTTATTAATCTAACCCGGCAGCATAGTTTGTATAGGATATTACAGTGTGTCACTTTCTTCTATGGTATAAGCAGGGAAAACTTAACATACTGCTATGCCTTGGATGTAACAGTAGCTCCACGTACCATCCACAGGTTGCAGCTGTCGTATAACAGGCATAATTTAATTTGGTTATTTAGACGAGGTCTGGCCCAAACCGCATTTTTACGCAATCAGTGGGCCTTAGGGATTCTCTTTAAAAGGGTTGATTTAATTGAATAAATAGTCCTTCCATTATTTGCTTTCGACTTCTTGAAACTGTTCATAAAAAAGAAACGTTAAGATTTAAGGTACGCCTAAACTGAAGTTGGCTAAGAACACGGTTTTTGTTATACAATGGCTAAACTTTATTTAAATAACCGGCCCTAAGTGTTTTAACATAAGGCGTTTTGATCTCGTAGTGAAGACAGTGGAAGTGGGCATGATCTTCGAAGTAAAGGAGGTTTGTAATCATAGTTCATTTGTTGAGTGTCATTGTGGCAAATTTGATGTTGTGTTTCGTTTAAGAACGGCACGTTTTAATTTCAAGCAATTGTACTGCTACAGAACTCATATTTAACAGTCTGGTTTGAACTGTAATAAACTTTCCAGGCTGCATTTCTTTCGAAGGCAAACTCATAGACTGCTGACCCTATCAGTCACAGAAAAGTCGGTATACCTTTCCTTCACTACACAGCCTTTTAATGTATTAGATATTCTCTGAATTATTGATATGGAAAATTTGTTTCAACAGTGAAACAGATATGAATGTAGCATTTTTTGATGTAGCTTCAAAACATAGCTCTGTTATCAGTCAAAGTTAATTGTACCATTGTAGTAAGATTGGTGTCTTTAAAAGTTCACATACAGTATTTTTTTTGTTTACCGGTAACCTTGTAAGCTTTTAAGTTGGTGGTTAGTATCAAATTCCTTCTATAATATTAGCAATATTTTACAAGTGAAGGCTGCGAGAATCAACAAATTGATTACTAAAGAAAATGACCCTGATTTTGACCAAATTTCCAAGTTAGCTATGATAAGAAAATGGTGGCAGACCACTGAGGAGGAATGTGTACGTCGAAGTAGGCTTGATTTGTGTGCTGACTTAAATGCCATTGCTCTTTCTCGTGACAGGTCATAAAAGCAATCCAGTGTCTTCATCAAGTAGTCTTTCAGTTGAATTACACAGAAATGAGGAGATACGTACAGTACCAGTAAGTGTATTTATTATATGAGTATACATTTGTTATTTTAATCAGTACCAGGTATATTTAATGAGTTTATACCACGTAGTTGACTAGTTCTTTTTGCGCGCGCTGATTGGCTGGTTTGGAAGTGAAAGTCAAGGTTTAACTTTTCTTCGTGTGATTGGTCCAGAAAACTCGCGCCACTATCTCAACCAATCAGATGCAAAACTCTAAACAATCGCGACTTGGTCATTTGCTCGTTTCCAAATTGATTCCTCGTTGGCTAGCGGTCACGTTAACCTTTGTTGTGATTGAGCGCTGTAATAACTTTGGTTTTCCATCAATCGAAAACAGCTCCATGGATGTTTTTTTAGATTCAGATGTCCTACCAACATTCTTATTTCTTTTCTCTAACATACCTTTCCTAGTTCTTGCATACCTTTACTAGTGACGATATCTTGCATTGACGGTACACCACCTAAAAGTGTTCCTTGCTTGTTTGTTTCTTTTAGTTTTCATCAAAAAGCAAAAAGAAGAGCATATCTGTTGATGTATGAATGAACTTATTCTGTTTCGGGTGTCTGGATTCAACTCCTTCTCGTCTGGATTCAACTCCTTCTCGATGTTCATCACTGTGCCGGATAAGTTCTCTGATGTTTCACCATGAAAATCGTTTGATAAATACAACGGCATGCCCCCCCCCCAGTACATATATGATTCCCTTTGAATTCTACATCACGCTTTGGTATAACTCAATACATATTGATAAATCTCGCATAATAGGCATTTTGCATTTTTATCTTATCACATTGAAAATGCCGCAACTGGTACCTTCAGTTTCAACGGTGCTCGTTGATTTTTACATTCATCAAAAGTCTGCAAAATAGTTTCTTGGAAGACGAAGTAACCCAAAATGATTCTTATTTTGAACACAATACTTTTGAACCGCCAATGTGAGTTTTTGAGTACCAATATAAATTGAAATTATCAAATCAATATGCGAACGTCTAAATTGAATTTTTCAATTGGAAACACGTAGCTGGTTTATTTTTGTACTATTTCAATATTTTTAAACTTATTGAAGGCCGAGTAACCTGATTGGCATTCAAAACTGTTAATTGAGTTATTTAATCAATATTTAAGCTTCAAAATTATTTATGTTAACTCCGAACTTGTAATAAGAGAAGCTGTAGTAAAATTGGATATGTGATTTCCAAAACAATAACAGACCTGCTGTTGATTGTGCGGGTCTTTCCTTTGGAGACTAACCAACAAACAGTTTGTTCATCACCTGCCAGCTTTCACCACACAGCAGACACTGTAGTTACATGTAACAAATGGTCAGGAAATCTTTTCTATACCTTGCCTCACAAATGGAGAAGTATCAATTTCATATAGACTATCATCCAAATTAGACCTTGCAATCTTCATCCAAGATCCCTAGTTATGGTCGCCTTACTTTACTCTGCTCAGCTCTTATTTTCAATATTTAAGAAATCTAACTGCTATTTGTACTACTGATATTTTATCTAAGAGAGAAAATTGTCCTGTACTTTTTTGTTCTAACTAATATATTTGTTACTGTTATTGAAATTCCTCCTGTCTATATACATCAAGTTTGCTTTTCGTGAGACTTTTGATACAGGAATCGGCCTAGTGCTTTATGCTTACAAAGGGCTTTGGGAAAATTAACAAGTATTACATTTTAAATATCTCGCTAAATGACCTTAGGTGAAGTTAAGAAAACAGCTTGTTAATCGCTTGCAGTGCCACTTACTTTAGCAATTTTTTTTTAATTCCAAACGATTAAGTTTTGAAAACACGTTGCCTGGATGCAGTATGCGTTACAACTGTAACCTGAGGCTTCAGTAAAAATAATATTAAATCATTATTTATTATATAATATTATCGCATTATCAACGACAGATTAGACATTTGCAGTCTGTTATAACCTAACGGAAATACGTTAATTAATGGCTGCTATTTTAACATCAAAGATAACATTGCATTGAGCAGGTCTCGCGTGCATTTAAATATTGACAGGAGGGAAAGTCTTTTCGGAGGGAAAGTCTTTTCGCAGGGAAAGGTTCAGCATCTTAACGGCTGTTCTGGGATAGTTTGAATTCCAATGTTCTCTCTACGTTAACACTTTTTTCAGGAAACATGTCTGACGGGAATATATTAGGGATGTTTGTAAATAGTTTTAAGTTCAGGTATCTTCTCTGACGAATTGAGTGTCGAAGTGATTACTGTAGTTTTCCTTCACTCTTTGACTGGTCTAGAAAACTTGCTCCATCCTTTCAACCAGTCATATTGGCCGTGGTGATCACTTTGCTTTTGACACTTAATTGAAAACATTATTACCTATCAAGCAATCCCTCATTCATATCCTCTCTTCAGACAGTCAGATTTCCTTCTCGTGTGCTTTCCATATAGCATTGTATCCTCATTTATCCATAAAGTATATTTAGCCTTATATGTAGAGACCGAAACGACAAACCTGAATTGCTTGCTGTTAATTCCTGCGAAGAACTTCGTACTGAATCGTGAAATACCCTGGTATTTTTCGAGTAATTTTTTTCGAACGAAATGAGAGGTTAATCCTCGTTTCGTTGTATTTACAGTTTTCATAGATGTATTTTTAACCCTTCTCGAATTTAGTTTTACAAGTTCTTAACAGTTAACAACAGGCTTATACTTTTCAGTCATTGTTGACGAGGCTACATTTAACCAGAGTTGTAAAATAGAATCTAGCTAAAGTATTACAGGTACAAAAACTTCCATCATAATCACGATAAACGTAGCTTATATACTCGCAAACTGCTATTTATGTTTTAGTTAATTCTATTATATCAATTAGCCACTCAGAATATTGCAAAAGCTGCAAAATTAGCAACCTTAACGTAAAGTTATTACTTTGATATGGAAAAAAAAAACGCTTTCCATGCTGATTTAGTTCCAGTTTCAGGTTAAATCGGAACTTTTCAGTTAAATTTACGGGCAGCGTTTGTAACAGAACCGATAAGGCTGCTTATTGTTTGAATTGTAAACAACCCCCAGATATATTCCGCAAATAATTTGAATTTATTTTGATGCAAAGTCTCGCTGGGGGAATTACACTTCAGATTTTAAAAATGTCCATTTTTTATGGAAAATTATTGATGTATGCTTGCATTACTAACAAATTTGGAAATGTTATTTAACTTCGTTTGTAAAAAAAAAAATTCTCCGATGAAAGATTTCATATTAGTGCTATATAATATATTTTCATCATATGCATCTACCTTTGTAATTTATACTTATATATAATATATGCACATACATTTCACGCCATCGTTATTATTATTTGCTTAGTCGTTATGTTATTTTTCTATAAGCAACAATATCTGATGTGGCGATGTTACTATTTACCAGGGTAATTTTTATACTCAAATCGTCTGAGCTAGGTTTCAGAGGATAACTTAATTGTAAAATGAATATGATATATTATATATTTTAAATAAACCCTGGAAGTCAAATATCTCCTCCTGTTACGCCTGATCTATAATGACCTTTAGTTTAAGACTTAACTACGTCGTTCCGAGGCCCTTGGAGCGCTTTAGGGACTGAGGGGAAGAGAACCCTTGGAAAGAGGCTCGAGTCCTGGTAGCATATCGTTCATTCTCTCGCGTTTATATCCAGGTTCATCGTTTTGAAGCGAAAAGGAGAATTGCTACTGCCGGACGTATTGTTTGTTTACATCTTGGGAAATCCCTCTTCACCCCTGAGCAATTCATCACGTTGGTTCTAGTATACAATTGTACACCTAAGAGGAGAGACGTACTGTGAGTGTAACTTGTATTTTCTCTCTCCACCCTACAACTGCAGCAAAAACCAAAGATGGAGGCAGGAATTTTCCCCAAGAAAATAATGAGCATTACGCCTGCTCTGTAGGATAAGAATTAAATTGTCCACATCACTACGCGAAGTTGGAGGCACTAAAACAACTTCAATGCCATAAAATGAGAAGGAAGTTAAAATAATGTAATAATTTTATTTTTTTTTTCAAAGTGAATAACGTCCCTCAGAAAACAACAGAAGTTATTTCTAGGTTACAAAAATAATTCACGATGAATGTTCATCAAATCACTGATCGAGATTAAAGTGTGATTACAAACAGAAATTTTATGAGAGTATCCTTACAATGACATCTAAAAATTTGAAAAGCGTGTAGCCATGACTAGTTGGCCACAGGAAAAAGCCCCTTACCTATGAAGAAATTCTCAAAACTGACCTTTACAGTTTTATATGTACAGATGTATTTTAACATATAATACAAAGAATTTTCGGAAGCCATTACACTTCCAACATTTTCCATCTGTTATTTACAAGCCTTAAATGAATTAATCACTACAGGCGTACAATTTCAATACGCTGATCGGTTCAGAACTAAATTTGGCTTAATCTGTTAAAATAACTTACTCGTAGACTTCACAAGCGGGTTATCTTGATAAACTGGTCTGTGGGATTTTTAGTTTCCCAATCACATCCTCATTCCAAAACGAACAGCTCTGTTGTTGTTGTTGTTGTTGTTGTTTTTGTTGCTTTTTATTTATTTTGTCTGTTGAGCCAGCAAGAGCACCGATCTCAGCCTCCCCACCGTACCCCTTCCCCACTAACGTGCATGGCACATTTTCACTCGGTGTACGGAGGAGGTGGGTCATGTCTGGAATTGGAATTATAATTGATAACGTAATCTCGGCGCGGAATGCTCATATCGACCACGTAGTGCGAACAAGGCACATCTCGTACAAAGTTCGATGGTGTTTGGCTGGCTTGAGTTTCGATGGGTGAACGTTGAATTTCTGTTGCTGCGAGTTCAACGTCTTCCTCTTCGATAACGCTGAGGTCTGTTTGCGATGTTTGAGACTGGCGAGAATTTACGGTACATTTGCCATCACCATCTGACCTGGAGTGTAGGGTGGCCTACATGAAAAAGGAAAACATACACATTACTACTAAAGTGCGCTTAGAGAAAAAGAATACCTTCAAACTTTACAACCAAAAGAGTGCCTTGAAACAGCTCGATTTGGTGTGACCGAGAGACGACCTCACTTTTTGTGACCGAGAGGCTGTCATATGCACGACAATTTGATCTAATTTAGTCTGAATAAAACGCACCTTAGAACGTCTTTTGCGACACAGTAATGCCGTCTCCATGACTGCGGCCAGAATGCACGTGATCAGTCCACCACTGTACACGCCACACATGCCGTATACCAGGTCACGCAGCTTGTTTTGGATACCATTACAGTTTGCAGTGTCTCTGAAGATTATCGACACTTGTCGTAGTTCGCTGTGATGAAAGCACTTGCACGAGTTCTCCACAGGGAAATATTGACAGTTGCCCATCTTTGAAAGGAGAGGCGCGATTTCGGTCCCAGTAAAAAGTGCTCCGGCGAAACAAAGAAATGCGGCTGCCACGGTGAAAATTATTGACGAAACAATCTGTGAATTGTAAATAAGAGAGGAAAACGTGAAGTAAAAGCAAAGAAAACGATAGCCCTTTAGGCAATACATTTTGTTTCATCTTCAAATTTCAAAACTTCGTGTGACTTCCGCCTGAATCGAGCAGCTAAAGTACACTGTTTACTCTTCCCCAGAATTTGTTCACAAAAGTATCACGGAATAGCATAGTATATAGAGACTTGACGACCTCACTTTTGAAATCGACGGATACACCACAATTACTTTAAACATGATAATTTTTATGGAACTGATACTGGATAAAGTTTCCAAAAGATTTCTTGTAACACATCTAATATTGCAGATAGAATAAGAGAGATGGAAAGTTTTGAGCTCGGTAAAGAATTAGAGAAAGATGTTTTTCGTCTAAGTCCCCATGAGGAATCGAACCTCAGACCTTCGGATTCTACGCTCCGATGCTCTACTACTGAGCCACAGATACGGTGAGCGAGGTCTATTACGAAGTTCATAGCCCAAAACTTGCCATCTCTCTTATTCTATCTAAAAACATTACTCTATCGACACATGCTGATCCAAGCAGTGTACAAGACGGCGTGTCTTGAGAACTTCGTAATAGATCTCGCCTACAGTAGAATCTCTGTGGCTCAGTGGTAGCGCATCGAAGCGCGGAATCCGAAGGTCTGAGGTTCGATTCCTCATGGAGACTCAGAATTTTTTCTCTGTCCCACGCTCGTGACAAGACGAAAAATCTTTCTCTACATCTAATATTGTTAGCGACAATCTGAAAGAAAGTACTTACAAGAAATTTACATCTTGGCTTGCACATTAACATCAGGTGAAATCCCACTAACCCAAGCTGTAGGAAAAGAAATCAGATTAACACTTTTAAGAATTGGAGCCTTATTTTAAAATTTAACTGTTTAATCTCTAATGTCTAAGTGATGGAGAACAATTTAACAAGCTACAGTCGAAAATGACAAAGTAAATTGTAGAATTTTCGGCTTGATTTCATATCCCTTTTCTAACTCTTTGTAGTCTTCTCCACTGTGAACATGAAAAAAGACCTCTTCCCTCCAGCAAAAAAAAAGGAGACCTTTACATTTATAGACTTAGAGTAAGAAAGTTAAGAGTTCCTAGAGCTATTTGTTGTTCGGGTGTGACCGAGATTAAAAATCCACTTCTTTGTTTCCATAAGACGGCCTTTCAAAAGAAATTAAAGCCATTTGCAATCGTTCACGTGGACGCCGACGAGAGCTGAACTTTTTCGAGGCTGTTTTGATAGGAAAATTCGGGTGTCTGAGCTTAACTAGCGAATCTCACCGAATATTTCTTGATTCCGTCGTGTAAACGAACTTTTACGTGATTGTTTTCAATCTTTGTTGAAGTGTTCGGATAAGGAAATAGAAATGCTCAAACAGAAATAAGAGGTCGAAAACCGTTAAGATCTCACCCAGATATGAAGGAAATAAGGCTTTCTTTTGCGTTTTTTATTCTTTTACCGTTTTAACGCTATTGAAATATTGGAGCTGCGTTTAAGAAACAAACGCCCAAAACAACAGGAAGTTGTTTTCCCTTGTCATTAGAGATAATTTCACCAAGCCGCATTCATTTCGATTGGTCATATTTCATTTGCGGTCAAAGATCTTTATGAATTTTAATCGTTCTCAGACGAATGATTTTGCCATTCATAAACCCACAAACAATTTCTGAGCTTTATCAATGGAAATTTAAGACATTTCTTGCAGTCATCGTCTTAAAAACCTTATTACCCTTTACCAGATTTGGTTTGCTGCAAGACGCAACATGTGTTTTCACTAGCTACGCTTCGAAACACATGTTTTTGAGAGCAGGTGGTTTTTTATCACCTAGAACCGCAAGTGTTGATTCAATTTACAGTCACAAAAAGAAGCGAAACAATACAAATGTGCCGTGTTTTCTAATTTGAATTGATAGAGATCAATTCGTACAATGCAACAGGTTGGAATATGGGAAACTTAACCAATTGTTTTGTGTTCACCAACTCTGTTAATGTGATGATCATACAGTGTATTGGATAAATCTTTTCTCTCTTTTTAATTAACCTTCCATTCACCTTCCGAAGTAAAACAGAATTAGGTAAAAAAGTGACGGAGGAAAATGTGAAACAATGGACTGTTTCATAACCTTAAAGTTCACATGACTAACATTTTTTTAAGACTACCTGTTACTAAAAGCTCTTTGATTTCACTTTCCTAAAACGCACACATCAATACTAATACTGCCCTTGTCACACAGAAGAACACAACAGTTTTGCAATAAATCCCCAGTTTCTTTGATTTGTTTGACGCGGAACAGTTGTTATTCTTTATTTCCGTGTTTGATACAGATACAAGGTTAATCCAATCTTCCGTTTCCCTCCTGTTCAATTAACAGAGGGTTTAATTTTGTTCTTCTTCGAGCAAGACTTGTTTGGCAAAATTCTCTTATTTGAAGTCACGAACAGTCTTTTTAAAGATCAATATAACTTGCATGAGGCTCTCAGAGAACGCGCTATCACTACGGAGGAAGGCTCCTTTTCAATTTAAAATGAACTTTTTCCTTTCAAATGTTTTTTCTTATCAAGCTATACTTCCTTCGCATACTCGTTTTTTTGGTCAAGAAAGTGACTCTTAAACTGTTCACCAATCAATATAAGACGAAGGATTCCTTACAAAACAACTCACTCAAAGATCTGCTTAACTTCATACATGTAGGAAAAAGAAACCCCAATTACACTTCGAGGATCAAAACAGAGAGGTTTTCTTCACAATCTGTTGATTAGTCTTTCTCATGCAAATACAATGATATGAGGGCACGAGGCTATATTAACCTGCGATGTAAATTAACACGTGCAGCGACTTAAGCTAATAAACATGATTTGATCTTCCGATCTCAAAGTGCTACATGCAAAAGCTTGAGAGTTTCCGGCAGCGGGCCAAAGCTTTTTACCACCGCGTTGAGCATTGATTATCATAATAAATTTTGACATTCCTTTTATCCTCCGGTACTCACGTAACAAACAATTCATTTACAAATTATTTCTTTTTCACTTCAAAACATCAGACTTTTCGGCGATAACTAAGGACGCTTCGTTCACCCGTTTGCTTGTTAGGCCGTTCTTTTCTTATTTTTTGATCCACTGGGAACAGAAAAGGCTAGAATTTGGCGCCCTGAGAACGCCCCAAGTGAATCAATGTCAATGGCGCTTTTAGCTCAAATGCGCGTGATATTGTACAAGGAAAAACAAAGCGGTTAAGTGTATCATTCACTAACCACGCGTTTTTGGCATGAGAACAATTGCGTTTCACTCTTGGCACGTGTCTATGGAATTGCGCCTAAAAACTCTTTCATCTCCACTCACCGATCAAAAGTGAGTTTCAAAGCAACATTTGGTTGATGAAGCAAACAGGTAAACACCACGGCAAGACACAGAATCTTTTTCTTTTTCTCAGCGTGGGCTCCATTTTACAATACCCTAACATAAGTAAAGGTGTTGTTTACGATTTATACGCACGCGCCAGAGTCACTCCAGTTCTTTTGTTTGTTTCGAAACTTGCATCGACTACACCCAAAATAAAAGGTTCCTTTCTTCTCCCGCGCTGAATTGGTTGCAGCTGAAAATTTAACCCTTTTTCGCGCATTTTATCCATTAAAATCCACTAAAGCTTTGAAATTGCGAAGTTCGGAAGCTCGATATGCGAAATTTGTCAAAATCTAAGCCCATTGAATATGTATAAGCGTCAGGCACTTGTCTATATTTGCACAAGGTACTAATGTGCTTTACTTAAACTGTTGTGTAATCCTTTCCAAAAACGCATCAAATGAACACTTTTCGAACCATAAATCTTCACAGACAAACGGAGTAAAAAAAAAAAAAACAAAGTATTTGAGGAGTTACAGCAACTCTAAATTCGCAAGGCATTGTTCGTCAGTTACGAATTTCTACAAGTGTAGCAAAAACGCCAGGTAGATTTGAAACTCCGTTTTTCCAAACACAAGGAGTGTTGATAACTGTCACATTAAAGTCGTGCGTTGTTTTCAATGTGAGCTGATTTATGTACTGCTTTTGAATTAAATATATTTCTATCAGACGGTTAACACTGCCGTATAATAAATATCCAACTGCCTACGGTGTTAATTCGTGACTTGGGAATTTAGGGGAACACTTCAAACAAGAGTTGTAACGAACTGAGCGGCAGTTGGATGTTAGAATTACCATATTTTACTACAGAGTGCATAAATAAACTCGAAGAACAAATTGCGGTGGTAAGCCTTACTGTTACATAATTTCTGTTAATACCATTGTTACGAAGATCTAGTCTTGTAGCAAAGAGATTTATGTTCTTAAAAGAAATAAAAACAATGAACGTACCAATGCGCCTGTAACATAGGATGGTATCAGCCCTTCTGTATGGTACGCAGAGGATGTTACTCCGTGGATGCTAAAATAACCGATTCCAAGAAGACATCCAATGGAAAGAATTGTAAAGCCAAGAAGCGGGAGTACCACAAGTCGCTTCCCGCAACACTGACAACTGTTGCCTTTCTCTGTGCTTCGATGGATGACAACATCTTTGGCTCGTAGCAGCTTTTGGTCAACGGAGTGAGTGGGCGCAGACCTTGAACTTTTTGGTGATGGCATGATTTTCACTGTTCACGATTCACTGGCCACGCGTCTACCGCCGCGAAATAATTCCACGCTTCTCACTTCCTTCGTAGTAAATTCTTCCTGAGTAATTAAAAAAGGCGGGAAAGCAAGATTTCAGGCCTTTACCCTCAAAATATTCCCTCTAGTGACTTAGGATGTTCGTCCAAGATGCTCTAGACGGTGTCTTAGCGTTGTGTTCAATTACCGTCGAAAATTGCCTTTCTTCGGGTTCTTAGTGTGTTCGATTCACTGCTAAAGAGCTCGGGGCTGTTTTGACGATGCCAATGAGTACTGCCAATGTTGTTTCTAACGTATTCTTTGTGACGTCTCTCATTGTGTGTACGGCTGAATGGAAACCTGACACAGTTGAATGGGCTGCACGAGGCGCCAATCTAATCATTAACATAACACTGGTTGTCCAATTTAATTTATGTGCTCACCGAATACCTATTCAGCTGAAGTTTAAACAGGTTACGATGCGCAGGTGGCGATGATCGGGGAAAGTAATCGGACAAAGAAATCAGGTGTTTCTGAAGAAAAAAAGATCACGGATTATTGCCAATACTACCTGTCGTAACCTTCAGGATCGAACAGGAAAATTAGTAAAATGTGATCCAGGCCTAATAACAAAGATTTTAAAATCATACTGAGCGTGTAGTTGAAAAGCTTTCAATATCAAAACCACTCTACTCCTTACAATGACATTACAAAAAAATTATAGTTTACTACAAGAAAAGATTGTAAAGTGTTCTCCTAGCTTTTTAATTAATCGTGCTTGTTACACTGAAAGGTTCTTTTAAATGAATTATTGGGTTTTGTTGCTCCGTTTTATGAAAGGCAATGTACTCTCCTTGGCTCGCTCATTTCGTGCAATTTGCTGCTATTGGTAATATTGATAAGACATATTAATTAGCGGGACCAGATAAGCTGATATTTCTCTTAAACCTGAAATACGGTATTTAACAAATAAACATGATCGACGCGGACAGATTTCCTAATTAATTGCTCCATTTTAAGGAAAATCGTTTATTTTGAACGATAGATTTGTTTGCTTTGGTAACTATTGTTCGTAGAAAAACCGACGCTGCGAAATTAAGTATCAAATCATTAAGTTTTGTAGAGTTAGGAAATTGCAATTTACAAAGTAAAAATGGAACGTTTCATGTTCCCTGACTCACTATGCAGACAAATGCACGTTGCTAAAAGTCTTCGTTTGCCTCTCGAGCAAGACTGAAACGTAAAAAGAAAGTTTCTCAAGGCTTCCTGACAGCTATTTTTTAATTTGGTATTTCCTTCGAAGTGAAAATGTACTTCAGGACGTGATAATGTTACGAGAAAAAGCGCACGTTCTGATAAAAGCACAAATTGCAAATTCCCGTAATTAGCAAAAGCGCTAAAAAACAGCGTCCTATCTAAAAGTCCAAAAAACTTAAACAAGCTGAGATTTATCTCGGTCATGTCAATAAAACGACGCATCTGCCAATTAAGGTCCTTGTTAAGCGATGTCGATATAACGCCGTTAGTACTTGAACGCATTTTTTGTTCAATTAGATAGCGGTACACTTTGCCAAGTTTATCAAGTATTGGCCATCTTATCCGGCCAGTTCGGCATTGCTCAGTCTTTTTAGTTGTGGAATAAATAAAACCCATAAGTTTTTCCATTTTGTGGAAGCCCATGTTTTCGTGATATCGATTGTTGTTCAAGCACTTAGCGACTAATGTTATGGCATCACTTTGCTGCTAGGTTAATAAGTTCTTGGTATTTGAATATTGCGATCATGCGTCTTTTCTGTTCCTATTGTCCGCGATTTCCTCGTCTTAATGTGAAAATGGCGACGCCGAAAGTCTGTTGTGAGAGTTAATTAAGAACAGCTAATGATAAGTCTTTGTTGTGGTTATCGAAATTGGTTAACAGGATTGGAGACGGTAGCTGTTTTATGCTTTGAACAAAATGAACAAAGATAGACACACGAAAGTAATTCAGTGCCGGCAAAAAATGTACAAATTAGCTAAATGAAAGAATTGATGAACTCGTAAGACAGGCAAATGTGATTATCGAAACGATGAAACTGGAAAGAAGGAATTAAAAGAACCAAGGATGATTTTAAGGACATTAGGGAAATGTAACAGCCTCTGCTCTTTTTTCGGTGGGTCGATATCTTTTGTAGACAAGAAATCGGACAAAACGTTTTTTTTTCTTTGTAATAACCATTGTTCATTATATTTAGTTACATGAGGCATGTGATTATATTGGCCATTTGGGATTACTCTGCTTGGAAAGCGCGAAATTTTGAATCTGTTAATTAAAGAAACGTTTGAAAAATCCTGCATCGGTTTCTACTTCAATTAGCCACTTAGAGAGATGTTAACTTCAAACTTCACCAATAACGACTTCTACTGGTACCGGCTCAAGAGCATAAGTCAAGCGAGGGCAAATGATTACGATTTCCCAACTATTGGCTGTTGCAATCGTGCATACAAAGTTATTCAAATATTTACATTAAATCACATTGCGCTTGACAATTTGAACATTGACAAGTAGGTCGATGAACCTCCATTGATTGTTTCTTCAAAGAAGACTGACATTTCGTTTTCTCACGGAACAATTGTGTGACATCCCATGCTGGATTTTTTAGTCTAAAGGTCATATAGAGATAATCAAACCGTCACTTTCTAAGCTTAGTACTCAAACTAACGTATTTTGCATTTAGTAGTTCTTGATATTTTTCGGTTTGCTTTAAATTGGTTGACCGAAGAAGGGAGAGTTGTCTAGACATCAAATGCAAGGCGTAAGCCGCGTAAGATTAATCGTGTGTTCTGACTTTTTGGACATCAAGCTTTCAAACCGATCTCTTAACCACCTGCAGAAGTTCTATGCACTGATCAATAAATATACTGTGGCAAATGCGGAAAACAAAGGTGACACGTTGCAAGTTTCTTAACTCCTTCTCAGTTTAATTTTTTCGCTCAGGTATTTTGGCGCGAAGAAATCAAATGGTAGTCCATTTCTTTCAACAACAGTATGCATTTTAAAGAAAGAGAGGAAATTGACTTGATGAAGTAATAATATTTGTCAACATATCATTCAAAATGCGCGTCGTAGGTGAATTTAACATGTAAAGTTAGGCTTTTAATTTCAAGCGTGAATGAAATTTATTTCTGATACGCATCAGTGATAACACTTACATGGGTGACTGTGTTGCATTTGAATTTGGAAAATTAGCTAATAAACAAAACTCATAGAGCTCGCAAAATACCGTCAGGTTTTTCCTCTGATTTACGACGCAGATTAATTTGATACAGAGTCGAAAACAAAGTCCATACCAAAGGAAAATGAATCTTTTTTATGTCTCTAATCTCATAGGATGCCTATCTGATCGCTAAAAACATTGACCGCGGCTTCATGTAATTTTATTGTTGATGGGGGTACCTGCGACAAAGTGGCGGCAACATTACGCAGTTATAAGCTAAGGAAAACAAGTTTTCTCGAACATGTGATCATTTGAGCGTGATCAACAGGTATTACATTGACGTTAGAAACAGCCCGCCGTCCAGTTCAAGACACACGTGCATTCAGCTGGTGCTGCGTGCTGGGAACTTGAAATGAGCAGCGTTAGGTTTTATTTAATCCAAAGAGCAAACAAACGGAGAAACTTGCTATATAGTTTTCAAGTTGAATATACACAGATTTGTCTGTACAAATAATGTCTTATGGTTATTGCTTGGAAAACGTGAGCTCATAGTGGCGGAGGTTTCAGCAAGAAATAAATCGCTCAAAGGGATTTAGCTTCATGTATTGTTAACAGCCAAATATAGATGCTCTATTATTCGCCTTAAATGATACCGAAGTGAAAAAAGTGATTCACTCAGCACAAGATGCGAGAACATAATCGAGTTATAAGCCAACATGACTTTCCACTTTCAGGTTTATTCTTCTTTTTAGTTGAGTTGGTTGGTCCTCGTTTATTCTTGGATTTCTACCATAACCTGAAAGGCGTTTTTGTACAGGATGTCGGCCTCCTAAACGAAAGAGTTCTTAATCAAACAGGATCAATGTGAAAAGCCACTCTCAAATGTTTGTGTGAATGCTTAAAAAACAAGATTCAAACAGTGTGAGAAAATGTTCAACACAAATAGACAACTCAAGCGACAGATGCCTCCAACAGGTCAGCAATTACAAAAGATAATTCGCTTATTAATTTTACTTTCAATTGCGAAACAAATACCGATGACGCACGTGCCCTTGTGCATTGAAAGAACAAGTGACCTTCATGCCGTATGTACATTTTAATTCATTTGTCTTTATTGTCAATAGTTTTTCATGTTCTTGATTTCTCAGTCTAGCTACGCGAGTGTTTTGCATAGTGAGGAGCGCGCCAAAAGGTTACCTGCTAAATGAGCAAGGTTACTTGCTTTCATGAACCATATTCCTTCATACTGGTTTTTTATATTAAATATTGTCTGAAAGGTATGACAGATCTCCCTGGTTTGAGGTTTAAAACAAGATTTTCTATCATGCAGTATTATATCATTGATGATTATGCTAACGGCTGAAGAAAACAGAGAATTAGTCTCAACTGATGTCAACTATGTCAACTAGATAAAAAGAATAGCAATATTCTCTCTTCGCCCAATTTCATATTATTTGACTTTTTTTCAGCCGATGGTTGTCTAAGGTTTAGCAAAACAAAGTGATACCTCAACAACTAAACTAAACTAAACGTTAACTAAACTGGTCCGCAGTTTCCGTATTAACATAACTTCGCCCTTCAAGTCTGGTAGCGAGCTGGTTCAGATATATTATAACGGAATCTAAACGTTTGTGCTCAACAGTAATAAACAACTGACTTCTCAAGACCACGTCAGGTGCAACTTAAGATAACAATTCAATTATTCAGTTTAATCTCTCTCATATAACCAATGCACATGTACGAGTAAATGTAACCACCAGATGACTTTCTTTACAAATATTTCCAATTATTGATGGACCCTTTTGGTGCTTAGAGAACTTAGCAGGTTCTTACCAGTTTAATTACACGTGTGCTAAGCAGGGAACGGAGAGTGCCGAAATGAGATTACCTGTTGTAGAACCGAGATCTCAAACTTTCCCACGCCTTAACTGGAACGGGTCTTTGGGTATCACTGATGAGCTATCCCAATGTAAAGAAAATTGTTCTTGTCAATCAAGACAAGCGGATCAACTTAACTTTGATGACAATAGGTTTTGTTAAATAATTAAAAATGGCCGTTAAAGCCATTTTGGAACAATGGTGGCAACAGCTTTAAAATACACGCGAGATATTTCAAAATTATTATACTAGCGGCAAATTTGAACCATCGACAAGGCTGAAGAAAAGACAAATCCTCCCCATGAAGGGGAGGGGGGGATGATACTGGTAAGATTCTTTTGATGCAAGTAGTAACGGCGGGGCGAACGGTGGCCAGTGGAGATGACTCTTGCCGCCTTGAAGCAAAGACTATTCATCATAAGTTTGCTATCGCCACTGTTTTCTTTAACATTGCTTTAAACTGGCTACATAAAAATGGCCAAATTTTTGTTGAAAAGGCCCACCATTGTCGAAAAGATGCCAGGAAAACAGTGTTTAACGCTCACTCACGGTAAATTTGCTTCGAGGGGAGAGAGGCTCCTCGCAGTTTTAGTGACTCCCATGGCTTAAGGAAAGGGTAAACCCACTTTGTGCTACAGTTTCAGGGTAAACTTGTAATTTACCAAGTGCAAGATGCCAACTTGCTGGTTTAGTATTCTCTCAAATTTCTGGATTTCTGTGTTGGAATAACAGAGCTTGCCATCCCATGTGCCTACGTGTTTAATTCGTTGTATACCCAGGGATCTCACCTGATCCCCGCCTAAGGCTCTGTATTATTCTTATGATTCCCCCTCTCTAGTCCCCCCCTTTATACTCTGTTGGGGGCGACTGATCCCCCTCTGTTGCCCCCCAAAACCATGTACCTTCCCTCAAATCCCCTTGGCCCCAAGGCGATAAATAAAGACTGGTCCCCTGATGATATAGTGAAAGGGCAGATCCACTTTGTATTGCAGTGCCTCAGTACTATTGCCATTTACCAAGTGCCAGGTGCCGAAAAGTTGGTTAAGTATTCTCGCCAGGATTGCCGGATTGTACGTGCATAACTTGCCGGCGAAGATGGGCAGCTAAGGACTTGCGTGATTTTCGCTGCCTCCGATGCTTTCCAATCTCGTAGCCAGAGTCCCTCTACTTTTAACCCTAGAAGAGGTAGGACGAAGAGAGATCTAGGAACGAGCTTGGCTTCTTCCGCTTGATCTTAGCCTGCACGGTAAGTGCAATTTTAGCGAGCGAGCTTTCTAGTCTTTTCTTTTCGTGAGGCAGCAGAAGGCTGGGGCGAGAGAGAAATTTGTACTAAGGGGGTGAGTGATGGTCAAAGGGAAGGAGAGGGGAAGGGATGGGGTAATAGAAATTAAGGAGAAAATGGTAGAAAATCTCTAACATAAGTCAAAATTAAACTGCCAAAAGCTAATTCAGATGGTAACAGTTTATTTTTACCTGATTCCTTTTCTCTTCCGTGACGGACTAAGCTGGGTCAAAAGATTTGCTCGCCGTCCGATACATTTGCGCTTTATTGTTCGTATTGTTAAGACAATTGTTCATCTTCAAGAAAGAATGAACATATAGCTTATGTCTTGATACTCCGAAGAATAAAATTTGAATAAACCAGGTTTTTTCGCAGATATAAATTGGTAAGTTGCATTGGATTTTTGGTCTTGTAAAAACCCTACGTACAACAGTGGGCATTCCGTCGCAGTCACGCAATGAGGATTGCTTAATTCGTCAATGCCCCAAGTGTGGAACAACTGCCCATATTCGGTTCATTTTCCCCTAAAAATGATATCCTCAGAGGCTTTCCGAAAATCACCCTTCTTGCCACAAGCTAAAACGCGTAATAAAACTAGTGACCGTCACTAATGGTAGAAGTTGCTTTCTTCTTGGTCACACAACACATTTGAAAGCAGCCCTAGCTCAAGACACGTGCACAGTGAGTGTTTCAGACAGTGTTTTTAACCACGTGATCAATTTGAACCAATGAACGAAGAGAAAAATTATCGCGTAAAATTTCATGGCACCGGACTTTCACACAATTGGATGCAATTTCCTGTACTTTCCCGGGAGCTG